CATGTTGTTTTTGAGACAGACCTCTCAACAAATAGCCTATGCTGACCAGCCAACAATCTCCGGTGCGGTCCTCCCCAGCACTGGGATTACAGGTGAGGATCACACCCAGCTTTTTTTTTTTTTTTTTTTTTTTACTTTTTTTTGTTTTAGTATTTTTTTTAAATTAATCACAGGTTATTTACTTTGTATCCCAGCCATAGCCCCCTTCCTCATTCCCTCCCAATCCCACCATCCCTCCCTCATCTCCTCCCTGCCCCTCTCTAAGTCCAATGATAAGAGGACCTCCTCCCCTTCCATCTGACCCCAGCTTATCAGTTATCTTCAGGACTGGCTGCAATGTCCTCTTCTGTGGCCTAGCAAGGCTGCTCCTCCTTCGGGGGGTAGGGGATGTCAAAGAGCCAGCCATTGAGTTCATGTCAGAAATAGACCCTGTTCCCTTACTAGAGAACCCACTTAGAAACTGAGCTACCATGGGCTATATCCGAGCAGGTGTTCTAGGTTATTTCCACAGATGGTCCTTGGTTGGAGAAACAGTCTCATAAAAGACCTCTGTGCCCTGATATATTTGGTCCTTGTGGAGCTCCTGTCCTCTCCAGGTCTTACTAACTCCCCCTTCTTTCATATGATTCCCTGCACTCTGCCCAAGGTTTGGTTATGAGTCTTAATATCTGCTTTGATACACTGCCAGGAAGAGTCTTTCAGAGGTCCTCTGTGGTAGGCTCCTGTCCTGTTACTTGTTTTCTTCTACATCCAATGTCCATCTCATTTGTCTTTCTAAGTGAGGACTGATCATCTTACCCCGGGTCCTCTTTCTTGTTTATCTTCTTTAGGTTTATAGATTTCAGTATGTTTATCCTATCTTATAGGTCTATTTAAGTTAGTATATACCATGTGTGTCTTTCTGCTTTTGGGATACCTCACTCAGGATGATCGTTTCTAGGTCCCACCATTTGCTTGCAAATTTCATGATTTCCTCGTTTTTTAACTGCTGAGTAGTATTCCATTGTGTGAAAGTACCACAATTTCTGTATCCATTCCTCCATTGATGGACATCTGGGTTGTTTCCAGGTTCTGGCTATTACGAATAAAGCTGCTACAAACACGGTTGAGCAAATGTCCTTGTTGTGTACTCGAGCACCTTTTGGCTATATGCCTAGAAGTGGTATAGCTGGATCTTGAGGAAGCACTATTTCTAATTGTCTGAGAAAGTGCCAGATTGATTTCCAAAGTGGTTGTACAAGTTTATATTCCCACCAGCAATGGAGGAGGGTTCCCCTTTCTCCACAACTTCTCCAACATGTGTTGTCACTTGATTTTTTGATCTTAGCCATTCTGACTGGTGTAAGGTGAAATCTCAGGGTCATTTTGATTTGCATCTCCCTGATGGCTAAGGACACTGAGCATTTCTTTAAGTGTTTTTCTGCCATTCTACAATCCTCTACAGAGAGCTCGCTGTTTAGCTGTGTAGTTCATTTTTTGATTGGATTACTTGATTTGTTGCTGTTTAACATCTTGAGTTCTTCATATATACTGGATATCAGTCCTCTGTCAGATGTAGGGTTGCATACCCCGCTTTTTAACGTGGATGCTGGCGAATGAATACAGGTTCTCATACTTGCACAGCAAGTTATTTTACTGACTGAGCCATTTTACCACTCCCAAGATTAGGATTTACACTCCATTCTAGGAAAGTCACTGACACAGTAGTAGGAAAAAATAAAGATGAAGGTGCCTAAAGCAGTCACTATCTTAAAAGAAAGTTTAACATCACACATAATGTTTTATTGTGATGAAATATATGACAGGATGTGAGAGGATTATAAAGATGTTAAGGATGAATGAAAAGTATAAACAGTTTTTGAAGCTCAAAGGACAATGAAAAAAAAGAGGGTGCCATAGCAGATACTGGTAAGCACTAATGTAGCTTGAAGAACAGAGAAAGGACATTCACAAGACTCACTATGAAGGAAATGCATAAAGAAGGGCAGCAAGACAGAACTGATCGAAGATGCTTGTGTCCACAGCTTTTTATGCTTACGAGACAATGCCAATAGCAGAGGACCACAGACTGATGATTGCTTACTAAATGCCAGCAACATTATTAACCCACTACACATATACCATATCTCCCATATATATAAACACATTACAACACACACTCACACACAGATACATGCATACATACTGAACCATGCACACAGTATACCACACACACTCACACATATATACATGCATACACACTATACCATACACACACATACTACAACACACACACCCATCCACCCATATACATGCATACACATACTGTAATACATGTGTACATGCGCGCGCACACACACACATAAACACACACCAGGAAGAAACTGATGCGCTGTAATGATATACAGACACAATAAGTAATAGATTTAATGAGATATGCAAGTGAAGATAGCTGGAGACCAGGTCTGGGAATTAGGGAGAAGGGTTGCAAGTACATCTAGATTCAGGAGCCACTTGTACAGATGTAACTGCTGCTGCTGCCATCTTCAACAAGCTTCTAAAAATCTCATATTGCTCCACGACCCAATTTATTTTAAAAGAAATGTAAATCAACATGAGTATCTGTGCCCTGGGGGGAGCAGCCTGCAAAGACAGCTAACACTGAGCTTAGCATGCCTCCTAGAGCAAATATTGGCTAAAAGAAGCTTTTACTTAAAAACATGATGCCACACACAGACAAGTGTCAGCCACAGGGAACGTCACACAGAACACATTTCCTCCTTTTACCAAGGAAATAGTCTTTAGGATGCTAAAACCAAAACAAAGCAAACTAAAATGACAATCTTCTACATTCACACCATTTTAGTATGATACTAAGCTGATATATTTTTGTCAAGTCAACATATCAGAATAGATATTTATTGAGAATAATATAATCAAGAAATCTGGCCTATGATCTGAGGGCCTGGCCATGTATAATCAGATCCTTAGGACCGGGGAAGAGCTGGGCAGCAAGGCCAAGTTTCCTGGCAGGTCCGTCAGGAACCCTCTGGCCAAGCAAAGCATGGGATGGAGATCCCTGGAACCATCAGCTGCTTTGATCCTCACTTCCCTGATATGATCGAGTCAGTGCAAAGCTGGCCCAGTCCTTGTCCGTTCCATGTCGCTAGACTCTGAAGCCACGCCTGAGCACCTGGAGCCCTGATGGAAACCACAGCTTTGTGATCATGTGATTGGTCTGGATCACTGTTTCTGTCACCTCATATCCCAGCTGGGGTCTGGAGCCCTCGTAACTCTAGTGTAATCTCTAGGGTGACAACAGGCAAGGCACCCTGTGGTTCTACATGCAAAATAAAAGCCGAAGTAACCCTTGAGGGGTGGGGAGAAGAAATCTGGCCTATAAGGTGTAATATGGAATGTTTTAATGTAAAGCAAACCTGTCTGTAAGTTCTCTGTAAATTACATACTCTGGAAGACAATTATTATCTCTTACTGGAGCTCAGTTTCCAGAAAAGGGATCAGTTATGTGACTAATAAAAACTGCTCATTCTCTGTGAAAATACAGTTGCAGAAAATGAGGTTACCTGTAGGTTCACCTGCTGGGATTGATTAATAAAGTCTTTACAGTCTGACTGCTTTCTAGATGAGTCCTGGTTTGCAGGACTACTGTCCTCTATGCAACTTGACAACCTGCTTCTCTCTCTCCCTTTGCATCATGTCCCCTGAGAAGCACCTCTGCGCCCTTCTGTCCTCTCTGCTCTTTCACTGCTAAAATATTTGCTATCAGAATCCAGCAGTCTGTCCTGTACTTTAAATGAGTATTCTACAATTACCTTTTTATCAAAAATACTTTGATTTCCTTGAGTTTTAGAAGTATTATGCCAAACAGCCAAATTTGACTAGTTTAATGAGTACTTACTAACTTTATTCACTATCCACAGCTCAATATACCTTGACTTAAATCCAAGTAGAATAAACCTTACCTCAGTTAATGAAGGAAGTAAAATGGAAAAATACATGAACCAAACAAACCAAATAACCAATATCCAAACAAACCCAGAAGACAAATCATTTCCTTCTATTAAAGTGCTACAGGCTGCCCACCTAGCTCTGGTAAAACTGAATAATCAGGCTACCTAAATAGGTAAGTTATAAGGTGACTATGTCAAGCTCATACCAAAACTAACTGAGTATTATTTCATTTTATAAAAGTAATCTGAGTCAAATACTGATACAATGAACAAATCCTAGACAGTCCCTAAACCAGTGACTATGTCTGCTACCTGCAATTATCTGAGATCAGATAATCATTTCCCTCATATTTTCTGTCCTTTCAGTGATTTCAGGATCCAAGTGGACAGCACTTCCGTGTCTCTCTTATTCTTCTATACCCAAATGAGTATCATCCCACAGCTGTGGGCTAGGACAAGGAGTTGTCGAATGCTCGATGGTACAGACACATATCCAGAGGTGATCTAGCCATCAGTGAAGAACAAAGCCTATAATACTTTCTCAGCTCACGGTTTGTTGAAATCCTTCTCTGTCCATGAGAGTGTAGGCAACAGCCAGCTGATTATGTGAGCTTTTGTATTTCCAAAATGATAAATGTAAACATTGGAATTCCTATATATTCTTGAGGTAAGTTAAGTGAGTCTGAGAACTTTTTAGTTGCATCTGAGGATATTTTAAAATATTCAGGCCAGGTGTGGTGGTGAACACCTTTAATCCCAGCACTCAGGAGACAGGCAGGTGGATCTCTATGAGTTTGAGAACAGCCTGGTCTATAAAGCAAATTCCAAGACAGCCAGGGCTATTATACAGAGAAATCCTGCCCCAAAAAACCAAAAACAAATAAATATCAAAGGGGTGATTGCTATCAAATTTATAAGTGTGATTATTTCACTATTTTAACTTGAAAGTGAAAAGCCTAGATTTTTGTTGACAGCCAATTAGTATAATAGTTAGCTACTTAACCTAATTAAGCTCTTTCATCAAACATAAAGAAAGGGAACCAATTTTACCTTATCAAATTTTGCTGCATATTTTCAACCCTCATTAAAATTTGGACCACAGTCTGTGATTGCACGTAGGCTTTCAATCTGAAATAAAACATTGTATTAATTAATTTTTAATCTATTTAAAAACAGTCTTTATGAACAAAAGCATGTATAACCAGCTAATAATGATTATAATTCATCTATCTAAGAATAGAGGAAAAAAAAGCAAAAACGTTTTCTAAGCAAGATATGAAAAAAAAATACTTTCCTTTACTCTGGTTAGAGATCTTAATTTTTTTTTTTTTTTGTCAGTACATGTGCTAAAAACTATACTTGTGTCAGAAAATATTAGTTGCTTACCAATATATTGTCTTCAGTTGAGTAACAAACAGATGCTTTTTATTAATGTCAAGTATCTGAGCGACAATAATAACCAGACTGCCAATCAATCAAGCTTTAACTGTCGCAGTTGTCCCAAAGACAGGGCTTAGTTCACCCATGGCTTGCAGGAGTGTGCCTGGCACTGCCTTTTTCAATAGTGAGAAGCAACTGGATCAGAGCAGACACTTAGGATCCATACCAGGTGTAAAGTTCAAACCCCCAGGAACCAAACCAGCTTTCCCATCTGGGACAGACTTCCTGGACAGAATAAAGTTGCACTGACTGAAAACTACCTCACCAGCAAGCTTCCTGTCTGAGCACTGCTGTGTGCTCACCAGATCCTGAGGACATCATACTTCTCTCTTTGACGCTTCCCAATTCCCTATCTAGCATTATTCTCATTCCACACATGGGAAAATTAAGGCGTGGTAGTGAAGCAGTTTGCTCTGATCACACAGTTAGTAAGAGGCAGAGAGACACAGCAATTTAATTAATATATCCAGCTATTTAATTCATATCCATAACATAGTGGAAAGTTCCACTATGTTATGCTGGCCAATTTTGACCATGCTGAATTTCTGGAGGCAAAGTGTAACCTTTTTCAGTTCTTTGAGGACTTGGCTAAAATATAATTTCCTGTCTTTAAGACTTACTAGAAAAGTTTTAAGTTTTAAACATTTTGGTTCAACGTGAAAGGCAGTCTGCTCTAAGGCTGAGATTGTAGACTTCAGTCTGATAGTACTACAGGGGTCTGAATCTTAGCTTCCCTGCTTATTAGACAGAGGAGGTTACTTAACCTACTTAAGACTTAGTTTTTCCACGTATAAAATAGGTAAGAGCTGGTGTCTCTCCACACAGAGCTGCTGTGACAGTTACATGAATTGCCACCTTCATTATTGCCTGACTGATGTGGTATAGTAAATGGGAATGGCTACAGTGACTGAACTTTAGTAAAATTCCAACATAATTAAATACAGTCACAGCTTCCCATAATAAATACACACTTAAAAAATACTTTAACATGTGCACCCAGTGAGATGGCACAGCAGGTACAGATGCTTGTGGTCAGCCCTGGTGGTCTGAGCTCTCACCCTGAGGCCCACATGTTGTAAGGAGAGAGCCCATTCTCCCCAGCTTTCTGAACCCCATATGTTCTGCAGCACACGAACGCATGCAAGTGCACAAACCACATCACGTTTTAAAAATCATGCCAAAAGCTTACGAGAATTTTGAAACATACCTTTGACGAATCACAGGATCAGACTTTTCAGGATCGATGTAAGGTTTTAGAATTTCATTAATAGTTTTATTATCTGGTACTCTTTCCGATAGAAAAGAAAAATAGCTGAATTATTATTTATAATTTGCTATTAAGTGTTAACTTAAAATTACTAAGTTTGGTGTAAAAATTGAACAAGGACCCTTTATTTTATTCTTGGAAAATAAAGAAAATAACATTCTTTCATGATAAAATATGTAGAAGAAATGCACAGAAAGACATTGGAGGAGCACATTATAGAGTCTTTGAGAATTTAGAAAATCTCCTTATCAATTACTTATAAAAATATGAAGCTGCTTTAACATACATCTATGTTCAAATTTTAACAAGTTAAAACTGAAACATACATGAAGCTCATAGAAATACAACTAAAGAAAGCTTTCAGAAGGTTGCAGTTCATTCAATCAGAGCCACAAACTAGCTTAAAAGCTGATACCAATTTTCCTAAAATGAAGCCCATGGTAAGCTTTCAAACTTTCCTGTATATTCACATAGCCTTACATTTCTATAAAACGCTCCATAACAAAATTAAGACTCCTCTGAAAGAGTAATTTCCCTTAGCCATTAGCTCGCTGAACAACTGCCATCACACTGCTTTGTATTAAGACCAGCCCTGCCTTCAGGCTGGTAATAAATTCTTCACTAACTCCCTGTGATGATTTCAAAGAAAGACACAGTGCACAGTGGGGACAATGCTGAGCACACTCCCTGACATCAATTTAGATTTATTCCTAACTCAAGAACATACGCAACACAGTTAATAAAATCTGTGCATGATATTTGGAAATAGTCAAATAACCTAAGCAAGCCTTAATAACCTTAATAATATTAAATTATGGTATATTATACATACATATTTAGATGTATTGGGTTGTATATACACATTTCCTACAATATTTTTCTGAGAAATATAACACTATAGAGGAGTTTTTCCACAGTAGAATTTTGGATTGTCTTTCAAAGAAACAGTTTTCAGACCTCTTGATTCAGATCACATAGTCCCTGCTCACATAATTCCAATCTAGTCTGTGCTAACTCTTTCCCTTTGAGTTCTATGCGCTTTGTAGACGTTCCTGAAATGGATTCTACTTAGTCTTCTGGAAGTTCTCATAGTCCGAGACAGAACCATGTCCATGGAGTCTTTGTAGACCTGCTTTCCTGCTCAGCATCATAGCTGATTTGATCTGCATGCATGGGCTCAGCTGCAGGTAACTCTCACCGTCACAAGCAGCTCAGGTTATTCATTCAGCTACTTACCTGTTTAAGCACAGAGCCTTAAAGTAAAGCGTTCTTAATGGATAGTAGGGAACCATACCTTTTCTCTATATACTCCGCTTGGCTCTGAGGAAACTGAAGCTTTACATGCCAACAAAACTGCTGTTTCCTAGGAGAGAATAATTATGAGCAATTAAGGTAAAGAATCAAAGCCTACAGATCAGACCTGGATTCTCACTGGAAGATTGTCTATGGTAGGCCTCAGAACTGAAACTGCTGTTTTTATTCAGTGCTACCTGCCATTTCCTATAACCTTGGGAACTATGTTCCTACATTAATACACTTGTAAGGTTGGTCAGAGGAAAGGACAGAGTAAAATAGCTCTGCATTTGAGGGATGTTTGTCTTCCTGAATTAGAAGGGTTCTCACAGCAGGGGCTTTTGTCTTTGCCTGACTAGTCCAAAGAGCAGGTGAGTTAAGTCCTGTCCAGCTGAGTCCAGCTGCTGCACTTGCACTTGTGAAGCTGGCTACGTGCACTCAGTAGCAAAACAGGACACAACAAGCTGGTCGCTAAGCAAAATGCACAAGTGCCTTTGCTTTCCATCTAAACTGTGGTCTATATAGGACCTAAGTCATGACTTACTAAATATTTGGTTTTAGAAAAATGACCACATACCCATCAAACTCAAATCAAAAAACAAAATGAAATTTAAAAAAGCCAACTACGGCTCCAAGTATCCATTACAGAAATTTAAATCTGATGACTATACATGGATTTCCTCTGTTTGTTTTTTTGAAGCAGGGTTTCAGGGTCTCACTATGCAGCCCTGCCTAGCCTGGAACACTTGCTATGTAAGCCAGTCTGTCCTTGAACTTAAAGAGGTCAGCCTACCTTTTTGGGTGATACCTGGCCTGCATGTATTTTCTTGTCTTAGAAGAAAATTTTATTATTCACTTGCTGTATCTCTTCTGGGCAATGATTGGTAATCTTTTTAAAATTTACCCTGTAATAGTAGGGCCCCCAAATCTATGATTATTTTGTAAAAAACACAACTTTAGCAGTATATCTTCCACCAAGCATTTAAAAGATTTGGTCAAGATTCCTTTTTTTTTTTTTTTTGGTCTGAAGGCAAAATAAAACCCTGTCTGTTATAGTAAGTTATCATACATTTGAATATGGTTTTCTTTAGTACTAAGGCAGGTTGCTCGAGAAAAAAATGTGCAGATTATATTTGTGTTTACAGTGCCATTATTATACAAGAAGCAATGGGTTAAGTTTGGTTTGTTTTTTTCTTGGATTAGACAACATCAAAAGGCACATATTACTAATGTAGAAGCCTGATGTCTAGAATCTCAGACAAAAGAGCTTTTATGAAGATCTGAATGCAAATGCAGCAGTTACTAGCTTTAAGAAAGTACTTATGGGAATAGCGTGCACCTGGACCTGCTGAGCCTTGGAAGACTTAGCGTGACCGAAACCACACAGGCACAACTGACAAGTATCAGACACACATGGGCAGTCAAATGTCTTCTGGAGACTCGAAAGAATTGTTTTCAAAATTTTCTCATTATATATGGTGATACACAAATGATATAAAACATGTACATATACTAAAACCAGAATGCTACCTGGCATCTTCTAGATTGCAAAACAGGCTCATATCGTCTGGCTAGTTCAGGACTTAATTGTGGCAGTGCCTATGTTTTAGAGTAGCTACTTCTCTGTGCCACAAACCCTCTGTAGGATAGTTAACAAATCCCAGCCTGACCCACTAGATAGTACAAGGACTTAGGCTTCCAGTGCTGACAAATGGAACTGAAAAATGCTCCCCAGCATCCCGTGTCCCCAGGAGGAAAACCACCATAAGAGAATACTGGGACGGAACGTTAGCATTTACTACCAGTCACCGCTAACCCATTAGGACTACTGTTCCATAAATTCAGTCAGATGCCTTCAACAACAATACGATCATTGCACCCTTGGAATACCCACTTTCTCAAGAATGGAAATACCCCCTAGAACATTCTATGTAACTTAAATAATCCAAAGCACTTGTTTACAGTTGACTAGATTGGTGAAGTGGCAGGCATAAATGCTGACAGTACCTCCCCTTTCTGGACAACTAATAAAGTAATAGAAACACACACTTCTTGGAGTCCCATGAGAGCAAAGGTACCAAAGGTTTAAGCAAGGGTATGGCTAAGGTTTTCTGGTCTCCCAATTATTCACATAATCTTTTGTGTGTGAGTACACACACACACACACACACACACACACACACACACACACACACACACACACAC